CAGGCGCTCCGGCGAAGCCGCTCTGGTCCGGCGAGCACCACCGACGGCCGCGAACACCGTCGACTCTTCCGCCTCCGCCGTCGCCTTCTCCCCTCGTCTTCTCCTCCAACAGTTTGAAATGCGAAGTGGGTTGTGCGAGTAACTGCGGGGGTGAGTAAATGGAACCGTGAGGGGGAGGGGGCAAAGTGCGCGACGTGTTTGACGTCAACCACGGTCGGCGCGTGGCGTGCGGGCGCATAGCAGTTCCACCGCACGCCCCCGAGTGGCAACCGCTGACCGCGGGAGGGCAACCAACGTGCGGGCGAACTGTCTCACACACCACACACGCGCCTTGTCCTACGTGGCGCAGAAAATCGACCAGATTGTGCCAAGATTCGTCCATAAAGTACTCGACGGTGATGGATGCGTGTGGTCGAGATGACGTGTGGGCATTAACATTTCCGTTTCTTTTTCTATTTTAGCATTGTTTTTTTATCTTTTTTAGCATTGTTGGATCGGGGCTGGCTGACTGGCCGAATAGGCTGGCCAGGTGGGCTTATTGGCACGGCTTGTTGTGCTGCGCAGACTCCCTTGTTATTTTCTTTTTTTCCAATTGATAAAACAGAGACTCCCCTAAAAAGTTTGATAAAACAAACAAAAAATATAGAAAAGCATAAAGAGTTCGAAATTGCTCTTTGTACGATTCAGTCCGATCCAGTGATCCCACGGTTGCCACTGATGCAGAGAATTGATCGGAGGGTGACTGAGCAGTGTCGTACAAAGTCATACAAGTATTCATCGTACGTCTAGCACTGCTCTAAAGACTCTGGAGAGACGTTGTGAACCATGCTTAATTTTTATTCCTAATACCAGTCGGACTGGTCCTGAATACATGCATGTACGACATGCACGTCCATGTGAATCATCACCGTTTTCTCAAAAGAAAAGAAGGAAGAGACGCACTACATGAAGCCTATTTTGGTAGCATATCTCAGCAACAATAACAACAACAACAACAAAGCCTTCAGTCCCAAGCAAGTTGGGGTAGGCTAGAGGTGAAACCCATAAGATCTCGCAACCAACTCATGGCTCTGCCACATGGATAGCAAGTTTCCATGCACCTCTGTCCATATCTAGCTCTTCGGCGATACTCCAATCCTTCAGGTCTCTCTTAACGGACTCCTCCCATGTCAAATTCGGTCTACCCCGCCCTCTCTTGACATTCTTCGCACGCTTTAGCTGTCCGCTATGCACTGGAGCTTCTGGAGGCCTGCGCTGGATATGCCGAAACCATCTCAGACGATGTTGGACAGGCTTCTCTTCAATTGGTGCTACCCCAACTCTATCTCGTATATCATCATTCCGAACTCGATCATTCCTCGTGTGGCCACACATCCATCTCAACATACGCATCTCCGTCACACCTAACTGTTGAACATGTCGCCTTTTAGTCGGCCAACACTCAGCGCCATACAACATTGCGGGTCGAACCGCCGCCCTGTAGAACTTGCATTTTAGCTTTTGTGGCACTCTCTTGTCACAGAGAATGTCAGAAGCTTGGCGCCACTTCATTCATCCGGCTTTGATTCGATGGTAGCATATCTCAGCCACATAGAATTTTCATTCTGCATAATATTACCAAACAATTAAAGTGTGTTCCATGTCACGAGATTAATAAATATAGAAATAGAAAACACATAATTGCAGTGTGTTATCGACTCAAATTCTATGGGATTTAAATTTGTCTATTTAGTCATATCAACGGAAGAAAAAATCTAGAGATTTGAGTGGGATGGAATATATATTTTTTTGAACATCAGTACTGACAGAAGCGCTCATATACACGCACATACACTCACCCATATGAACCAAATGCGAGCACCAGGATTTGAACCCTGGTGGGTTGGGGATACCACGGTCCCTCTAACCATCCAAGTACAGGTTGGTTCGCAGGATGGAAATTTACTTTTGAAATGTATTGAAGGTGAATAGTTAGGAAAAATTCCAGTCCTCCAAAATCTTAACAAAAATACACTATGAATATATCAGAGTCCCTATGAAAGAGAAGCATATTGCATGTGCCACACAAGCAAACAAAACTATAGTATGAATAGTCTATACCTATAATATAAAATAAATGAAGGAAAAGTTTGATGGTTGAGATTTAAAAGGCTATACTATAATCAAGAAAGAAAAGTTTCATTCTCCCAAATTTCGGTATGTTATCTGTCGTTTGATTTTTCATTCTTCTGGCTGTACGTTACGCCATGTTTGTTCCTTGCTTGTCTCAGTGGAGCGTCATTTGTCACGATAAAACGTTGTATATGTTGTATACTACTAGGAAATTACTCCTTCTGTTTCTAAATATCAGTATTTTTAGATATTTCAATACGGATCACATACGGATGTATGTAAACATATTTTTAAGTGTAGATTTACTCATTTTGCTTTGTATGTAGTCATTTTTGGAATCTTAAAAAGACTTATATATAGGAATGACGGGAGTATAATCCATCTGAGAAGCTATAGGTGGGCAAATCTGTTTTATTTTCGTACTGTATAGTGGATTAAATTAACAATTTCATTTTATATTTCAAAGTAAATAATAATAATATGAGTAACACAACATTAATTCAAGTATATGATAGATAAATCCAAATGGGTGCGCACGTAATGGTTTGATTCCTTAATGAGGAAACAGATAATTTTTAAATAATCTCAAAGTGATTTTGTTAGCTAGCCAAAACAGTTACATTAAAAGCTCATATAAATTATCTTTGTGCTATTCATTATAAATGGTAGGAAACTATGTAGAGAAACACATGCTACTCATTTCTAGCAATGTTTGCTCTGCTCCGTAGTGAAGCATGGACGTTGTCTCAATCATTGCAGGCACTGTCGATGACGGCAAGTAGAAGGATAGACGGTGAAACGGGTGGTATATCATAATAGGGTGACGCGCAACTTGATAGATATTCATAATTCTAAATCTGTTGTTATTTGGGATGAAGATGCCCTAGCTTTCTTCTTTCAGATTTTGTAGACGATATTACTCTCGGGTGTGCGTCATATGGCATTCTCGCTAAAAGAACGCATACTCACACGCGCGCGCGGAGGCAGAGACGGTAGCGATTGGCATTGCGCGCGTAACCAGTTAGGATTCACCATATTCGGTCGGGACAGGCTGTGCGTTAGCCATTCCTTTGGCGTTGTGCTAAATCACGGTGGTGCTGCTTGTTGATTAGAGGCGGCTGATTCTTGTGAACTTGCGAGCGTATATAAACCCGTGTAACTTGGTATGGGGGAGCAAGGTGGGACTATTTCATGCCTAATATCCACGTGTGCTCTCTCTTTTTACAGGTAAACAAAATCTCATAGCAACACGGCCTCGCTCTCGGCCCATAAGAGAAAAGGCCCACAACAGCACGGAGCTGCTCATACAAGCAATCGATCGGGAAGGAAACGCGCTGCTCGTACAAACAATCACCTATGTCATAGATAGATAGATTAGTACCACCTTTGGATATAGAAAATAAATATAGACGTGTTAAAAAAAAGTGAAAGCGTGAATTCATGGAAAGAAGCGTATTGTGACGGTGAACCCATGAAGTCAATCTGTGCTTTATTATTACTAGTACGAATGTCTGTGCGTTGCACCGGGCAAAAAAGGGCACAACCTGCTTTATATCCCCTTATGCACCATTTTTTGTATCTAATTTTAATATACATCGATAATAAGGTTAAACTGATTAGTTCTTTATGTAGCATGAAGTTCAGACGTGAAGAAGGCACCTTAGCGTTCTTCATCTGTTTTTATGGAAGAGTAGTTTTTTATTGGAATAGATTGTCTGTCATTTTCTTTTTGCTTTTCTGAAAAACGCCTATGTTCCGAAAGTGTCCTTTGATCTAACAATGATATTCATCGCTGGATGCAAAATGAACGCTCATGTATAACTCTAGGACTAAAAACATAAAGCATTGTAAGTCCGTTTCACAAAGCTATGATATATATATGATTCAAAAAACATGTCATCTAAGCTAAAAGGTCTCATCCATCATTAAAGGAAATAATTTTATATTTAAACATGCCAATTTCGTGGGCACTGCATCTCACTACAATTTTATGACTTCAGAGAGATAAGATACATGTAGATGCATATGTTTCTTTCTCATGCCAATTAGCTAATCAACAGGGAGATAAACTATGGCAAGCAGGCAACCGAATTGACATAGCAACAACTTTGAATTTAGTTCAATAGTAATGGAAGGACCAGAATTAGTGAATAATAAACATGAAGGGTCGAAGCACTAAGTCAGCGTGTGCTCAGTTCGGTCACCATAATCTACTTTATCTTCGCTGTGGGTTAAATGATCATCTACTTATCTCATAGTAAAAAATTCTCAGCAAGCCTGAATATTAATTAGATTATAGGCCAATCACTTGCTCCAAACTGCCATAGGAAAAAACAACAAATAGGAACAGATGGCAACAGTGGTTAACATAGAACTTTTCAAAAAAATTGATTCTTAAGACAACATTATTGAGTAATTAATCTTTCCAGTAGGCTTTTCACCAGCGACGTGTTATGTATTACTACTGACAAATAGTAAATATGATAATAATAAAAATAAGCTTTTGCAGTTATAAACATGGATTATGTAGCAGACCAAATAGTCCTAAACCTGAAGCAAAATAGAACAGGGCATATAAAAGTATTCTGTAAGAAAAAAACACCATGCACACCCTTTTATTTTTCATCTGCAGATCCGCTTTACTGGCATCCAAAATAGAGTAGTCCAAAATCCATCTCCTCTTACAAGCCCTTAAGAACCGAGCAATTAAACATCATGGAAAAGTAGAACTAACATAAATTCGTACCAAAATTTACCTGGCAGCTCCAAAAAGTTAACAGGCATTCCCAAAAGACCATTGTTCTCTGCCCCTGTATGACATCTGCACCAAAATTACAAGAATAAAGAACCACTTTCTCCTCTAAACTTAATTAGCACATGTATCTCCTATGGATGATGTTTACTCAACTCTGTTTAATCCGCTCACAGAAATAGAATCTCCTGTGGGTATTAGCCACAATCATGGCACTGACAATGCCCACAGTGGTATGGACCCAATACCCCTCCCGCTCTGCTTTCTCCCCTGCCAGTGTTTGCCATTATGCCGGAGGACGTCGCCGCGTGGGATGCTGAACGGAGGCACCGCCCCCGGGATATGGATGTTTCACAAGAAGCTTGTTCACCCAATCATCCTACATCCCTGATGTCATATGAAAAAAATTCCATCTGAAACATCAACACAAAATCAAGAATAAGTCTTCATGTTTACTGAGGTAGTGCTAAATCAATTTCCTATGCCGCTTAGTCATTCTGCAAATCTAGTGTCAAATTTGATTTTATGAAGCCATATAAAAGATATTTCCCTGATAAAGTAATAATTCTTCAAACACAAATTTCTTGTGGGAATTAGCACAAACATTTTCTTCGCAACCAAAACTCAGGTTCTCATATTACACTGTACTGTAGTAATGTAATGGGTACTATCGATCTTCTGAAACATAATAAGAAGGGCTAGCTTATAAACAGAAAACATCGTTTTATGGCTCAATAAGTATTAGCAAACATGACATGGTATCAGGAGTGCTATGATCAATTTTACAAAATTGGGCAATAATGTAGCAAGGCGTTCAGCTTGTTCGGGCAAGTGATGCTCAGCATGTTTAGTTTGATCTTACCAAAAGGATCAACGTAATTGAAGACAGGGGAACTGAACCAAGAATACATTGGTGCTTATCAATAACTCCCAATTGGATTTCGCCTTAAATCAGTGCAGGGGTGGCAGGGGAACACATGTGTATACCTGCACGTGGTCGTGAAGATCAGTTCAGACGAAGTAGCGTCCTCGTCGGCGTTGCAGAGGAGGGCCTGAGTGGAGGAGCCGGCTTCCGCGGATAGCACACACTGAGATGGGGAGCGGCTACACGACAGAAAAAATTCGGAGGCCAGCAGCACTTCGGAAGTCCATCAAGAGTTGGCCTGCAGTGTTGGGAGTATATAGTCAATTTTCTCAAGACTTTGCACATTCAACATCTCAAGTAAAATTATAGTAAAATTGATTCATTTTACACATTATGAACATTCAGAAGCAGATAACAAAATATCAGGCGGCTATTCACTGTTGCTAAATTGTATCTGACCATTAGATGAGTAAGTCACCAGAGAAGCTGTTACGTATACAGAACATGTACTTCCAACACTCATGGGTGCTGCCCACACGCCACAACAAAATCTTTGATACAAAATCAATCAGGGGAGGGCATGCCCATGCCACTGAACTCTCACGCGACCTGGGGGTTGTTGTTGGCTACAGGATGAACTTATGAAGGGCATCTCTAGCAGTTAGCAACGATGCGACATACGTTTTTTACGGGGAGGAGATGAATCGAGACACATACCTGGATCCGCCGACCAGAGCCATCGCCGGAATCCGCGCTGTCCTTACTCTGCCTTCTCTTCTCCCCATCTCACCTCCTCTCTCTCCCACGTCTCTTCTTCCCAGGAGACCGAGGCGCCACGGCCATGAAGCGCCGGACGCCGCGCTGGATCCTGACCTGATCCGCCTCGCCGCGTTCGCCGTTCCCCGCCTCCCCGCCGTTCCCCGCCTCCCCGCCGTTCCCCACTTTTCGGAGCCCTGCCGCCGTCGTCCTACATGTCCCGATCGGATAGGGAGCGCCGCCGCTCGATCTAAAGCCAAACGTGCACAGAGGGGGTTGACAAAGAAAAATATCGAAGCGTTTTTTCTTCGCTCGCCGAGGACTGCGGGTTAAATTAGCGAGAACCGTTTATTCGACAGTGAGCGGGCGGGCAGAATAGAGAGACGGGCCAAGGCCCAAACTTGATCGCAGCCCAGCTAAGCGAACGTAGCGGTCAATTGAGTCGATAATTTTTAGTACCATCTCGAATATATTTTAAATTCAAACTGAAAGCGTAAATTTATGGGAAGAAGCGTATTGCGACGGTGAACCCGAAGACCCAATCCGTGCTTTATTATTAGGGAGAGACTAGCACATATGCCCGTGCGTTGCAACGGGAGATATAATGGTGTATCGATCGAAAGGCCCAACAACATCTGAATGATGCCACCCGGCAATGGCAGGAAGGCGCGCACCGAGGTCTAGTAATAATTCATATCAATTGTACGGGCGTGGCTAATTTACGCGAATTCAGGTGGGTGAGATTAGTTAGTGTGGGCCCCATGATTGAATTAGGGAGGGGGTGATTAGTTAGTGTGGGTCCATCCTTGAATTCACCGGGGAGAGAAATTAATTAGGATGAGGAGAGATTTATGTGGCTTCGTCCCCAGATGTGTTGCGGAGCGTACCAATGCTCGCAGGCAAGAAAGTCTTTTTCCAATTGTACATTAAGAAGTATGCTACATATACAATGCTTTTGATAAAGGCCCCCTAATATTCAAATCTTAAAGGCATTATTTGTAAGTTGTCGTGAAAAAAATCTCGCTAGCTATTTGAGTTAATTGCATGCCATGTCTGGGTAATTGCTTTGTGTCAAACTCTCCTTCCTTATTTATGTATCATGCCCTCGTATATACTTCCTCCGTTCCTAAATATTTGTCTTTTAGAGATTATAAATGGACTACCATATATGTATGTATATAGACATATTTTAGAGTGTAGATTCACTCAGTTTGCTTCATATGTAGTCACCTGTTGAAATCTCTAGAAAGACAAATATTTAGGAACGGAGGGAGTAATTCCTTTGCAACATATTATTATCTCCTTCTGAACTCTTCTTCCTTATTTATGCCCACATAATAACACCTCTGCAAGGTGTGTTCTCTCCTTCTTTTTTTAGGAGCTCATCTTCCTTATGTATGCCCAAGGATCACACGCTGGTATTACATGGTCATTATCCTCTCATTCACTTTTCATTTTGTGAAACTCTCGGATCATGCCACACATCTTTGTCAGCCATCTTTGTTACCATTAATTATCCAGGCTGCTTATTGATTTTGAATCGGAAACATATATAAATTGGTAGAACGGATTGCAAAGGAGCGAGGTGGTACTAATTTACAAAGAAACAAACCTTTTGTTTGCATCCTGATGCATTAGTTCTGTTGTTTGCAGCCTTGGGCCTTGACGTACAACGTTGGGAGTTCGACCCACATGGAGATGCTTATTTTTGCCTAATCTCGGTTACACGTTATATTTTTTGACTGGGCCGCATCTTGATTTATCTCTTCCAAGTATCCAACTAAAAGAATTCAAATGACAGATAAAAAAATCAACAAGTATGCGGGAGGTGCCCTCACAACCCTGCCAGGCTCGTTTGTCGGCGGTACACACCGAGGTGGCGAGACCTCACCAACCGCCGCCATTGGCCCAAAGCTTGAGCTTTCCTTGCCTTCTCCCTCCATCCCTTGCTCGAACGCCAGCCAAGCTCTGCTCCGGCGAGCCCTTTGGTCAGAGCCACGTTGTTGCTTGCCTGCTCCTCCTCCTCACTTCCCTAGTGCCGATTCAAAAGCACATAAACTCTGCTCCACATGGAGATGCTTATTTTTGCCTAATCTCGGTTACACGTTATATTTTTTGACT